TAACTGTTACTGAGTAACTGTTACTGAGTAACTGTTACTGAGTAACTGTTACTGAGTAACAGTTACTGAGTAACAGTTACTGAGTAACTGTTACTCAGTAACTGTTACTCAGTAACAATAACTGTTACTGAGTAACTGTTACTGAGTAACTGTTACTGAGTAACTGTTACTGAGTAACTGTTACTGAGTAACTGTTACTGAGTAACTGTTACTCTCTCACTGAGGGATTTAAAAAGTACATCAGAGGAGTCAACCACACTGAACCGGCCAATGGCAGTAGATATGACGAGCAGTTTACATCACAGGTTTCTGGAGGGGTTTGTGGTAATGGCGCATCTACAGCATGGTTTAAACCCCCTGGGACAGTATAAACTGACTGAGATGCATCTGCTCAGATTAAACTGAAGGCCTAAAAATAACGTTTAGGGGAACGCAGGCGCCTCTCCGAGTAGTCTTTAGCCCTAAAACACAGTGAGTTACAACAGCTGTAAAAAAGCAAATAGCAACAAAACAAATCAGAAAGAGGAAAAATGTGAAATTAAGCTGAAAACAGAAAGTTCCAGGGTGCTGAGCCCACGGGCTGAGCAGGCTAAAGCAGCAGTCCCAGCGTGACTCGAACCACGACTTCCTGCTTGACACACCTGTGCCACCAACATCAACCTCCTGAGGCAGGCTCTGTGTTTACTTCTGTAAACCAGGACTGTCATCTTCAGATCAGTTAAAGTACCTTTGATCAAACCGCCCATCGTAACAGGTAATCGTACAGTGTGATGCTATCGGCACTGACAGGAAGTAGTGTGGAGGAAGCTGCGTCTTTATTCCAGAGTTAGTGGCGAGTTGAGTAAAGTTCCACCATGTGTGACCATTAAGCTACGTGTGGTTGATGTATGTTGAATGTGACATGTGGAAGAAACGCAGGGGAACGATGTTTTCGAGAGTCAACAGAACTGCCATTTACAACAAATGCTTCTGAAAAACATAGGTGTCTTAATAGTGTTTGTATTGCATTCAGATGAGTCGCAGCCATGACGGAGGAGGTAGGGTCCAGTTACACACATACACAGCTACGACGCCCGGGTAAGATCCAGGTTGTAGTCGAATCGAATGACCCCGTAAAGGTCAGCGTTTTGACCCACCACAGTGGAACCTGCACCGGCCTTTCAGTTTAACATGATGGACTGTCCGACAGAGCAGTCGGCAGAGGTTACGCCCACAGCTCGGTGATCTGCTGTTTGTGCACGCAGCCTGCGATACGACCTCTGCAAATTTCCCTTTCTTTCTCTCCTCCCTTCATTGTCTTTTGTCTTTTGTGTGCGGCGTGCCTGCAGGCCAGCGGCTCATCCCAAAACAAAGAATGATCACTCTCAGCCCGCTCGCCTCACTTCAGCTTCCTCTCTCTTCTCTTACCTCTCGCTCTGATGCTCGCACGCTCAGACGTGAACAGATTTTGTTGGTTTCTAATATAATTATTTCTCCCGACCAGCTGGGAGAAACATGCTGCAGCTGTAACCCACGCGCGCAGTTTTCCCACAGGGGTTACCATGGTAACAAAAGGATTTTTGGCCACTGTGTGACACAGATGAGCTCGTGGCGCTCCTCTCTTTCACCTGCCTATGTGAGGCTCTCTGATGCTGAAGGGTGTGTCTGAGATCTCAACATGAAACTTTAATGTGAAAGCAGTGAGGAGAATAAACAGGACGTACGCGTGCGGTTTAAAAATGTCCATATCTGCTTTTTATAGGCAGGTGGAGTCCGAGCCGTCGCTCTTCTCTTTTAGACATTAGCTGGTGCTAGTGCATGAGTTAGGACTGGACTGAGTTTCAGATGTGTTGATAATCTCTGCACACAGTTGTGTTAGCTGTCATACCTGCAGAGCAGCCAGCGTTTGCACGCCACAGTGTGAAAGGAGGCTTTCTGTTCGTGTTACAGGTGAGATTAGACGTGAGAGGCTGAAGCAAAACTCCTTTAAGAACACGTTTAAAGAAATGTCTCATTGCTTCATGCAGGACAGAAAGTCCTTTGTTTTAATCTAATATGTGAGGAGGGAAGAAAGTGCACAGAGAACGTGTGCATTCATTAGCACATTATCCATGTTTTCCACTGAGTGACTGAGGGGCGTCCAGTCAGTGTTTCCAGAGCGTCTCACAGTGAGCGGGGCTGCAGGACTGAACAATGCAGACACAGAGCTGTTTGGCTGTGTGTGAGCTCGTCTGCTCTTTGGATCAGTTTCCATGACTCAAAGGGATATCCCACACCGCCTCCAGACCCCCACTCCTGCTCGCTGCCCTTCCTTTCCCTCCCCACCCTACCCCAGCCTCCACCCCCTCAGTGTCACTCCCTCCTTTCATAGTTTACCACCAACAATGTTCTTCGCTCACAGTGAGCCTGGTGGAGGACTTTTCAAGACGCGGCTCCCGGATGGATTTGAAGCTTTGTTTTGAGTGAGCATGTGAAGGACGGCATCGAAGACAAAAGCGAGGGAGGGAAGGGTGAGTGACACTGCAAATGTATGCGTGTTGAAGTGACTGGCAGCGGGACGGACACATGGTGTGGCGTTTGTCTGGTGACGAACGGGAAGATGTCTGGACCTGCTCCTAAAGATGGTGGTGCTTCTGAGTCGGCCTTCAGACATTAAGGCTTTTTGTTTGTGAGGCTGTGATGTCGGTGTCATGTAGACTGTTTATTAGATGCTCCAGAAAAACTGAGCCAGGAGTGCAATACCATAGTCGTTTAATTACTGATGCATTACTGTGTAAGCTGCCTTTAAAAGTAAAATTATTACCTGCAGTAATATTTAGATTACATTAGTATTTGATTACTTGATGCACATTTTATTTGTACAGTGT